GTACTTGTGGGAGTTCTCGGTCCATGTACTGCTGAAGCCTACCTTTTTGGATTTTGAGCATAACTTCGCGAGCGTGTGAAATGAGTGCAATTGTATGGTAGTTAGAGCATTCTTTGGCACTGCCCTTCTTTGGGACTGGGATGTAGACTGATCTTTTCCAATCCTCTGACCACTGCTAAGTTTTCCATTGATGATGATAAAAAAAGCACACTGGTCCTTTGATACTGGGCTGTGGCACCAGGGTGGGTGACATGACCTTTAGCCTGGTTTGTTCCTTTTTGCACACCACACACAGAATGATTAAAGTGGTAGGGAACCCCCCACCACCAATTCTGCGTTGGCTGTCTCTAGCAAGCATGTCATTGCTAGCACCACTCTAGCAGCCACTAATGATCCTCTGCAAGCTAGCAAAAATGTATTGCAACTTGCTAGGCACGTTTGACACCTTACGACTCCCTATACCACACCATGGCTGGAGTGCAATGTGTTCCAGCAAAAATAGTGCACATCTTTATCAAATTTGGTGCATCCTGCTAGTTCGGTACACAGCCTGTGTAGATTCAATAATATTTTTAATTCAAATAATGTATGATTTCCTTCCTTTCGAATCAAGGGGGTAATATAAATTTCTTGGGGGGTAAAAGGTAAAAAAGTTCCCTGACCCCTGATGTAGGCAAACTATCGCTTTGATATTCCTTCTCTCAAACCCTCATGCAATAACATTGTTCTTAAACGTCAAGAGAAGAATAAAGACCACTACACCTTTGCAGCGTTCACAGCAGGTTCCTCTCTGCTTTACGACTAGAGCACACTCCTTTGAAAGTACTGGACACTTCTCTCGCTTGCAAGTCACTTCCTTGTTCTGGGAGGGAGGGAAGACAGAAAAAGAAATCTAGTATCAGAAAGCACACTATGAAGTCAGATTTGGAAAGTTTCCCTCCGTTTGACAAGAGATATTTGGAATACGTACAGAGAGGGCATTATTAGATCTTCATACAAACAGACACAGTTTCTCCCTTGTGACACATATGCAGCCAAGGAAAGATGAAAAATTGAGCAGAAAGGGGGAGCAGTGGCAACTTTTGAAAGGAGACTGAACTTAGATAAAGTTACGCCAAAGGAAACATGTGACTCGTTTCATGCTAATGTTACTTTCTAGTACTGTATACTATAGAAATGATAATATTTGTGTAAACTGAAGCAGGAACTTTTAGGATACCTGCTCCAGGACTTCCTTGTGTGAACAAAAATATTTAGCCATGAATGTTCAACAGGTCTGCATATTAGTTAGGGTTTAAAAAAATAATGAAAGTCTAAATTTTCAACCAAAATAAAGACTGAGATGGATTCAATGAACTGCATTTAAAGTACATGCAAATGCATATCTGCATGCACATATATAATCAATTACTAACCAAGGAAAACCAAACAATGCTGAACGGTGGGATAAAAATTGTATAACTCAGATCATAGTAATGTATGGCCCTACAGTTGTCCCTTACAGTTGTCAAGTTGCAACTCTCATCACCTCCAGTCAGCATAGTGCATGATGAGGAATCCTGGCAAATGCAGTCGAACAGCATTTGGAACGCCACAAATTCTCTATCCACTGATTTCAACAGTAACAAAATAAACATTTGTTAACCACTCCCTTTTTGTAATCCTAAACCAGGATTTAACTCTACAGTGGTGCCTCAATTTACGACCATAATCCGTTCCAGAAGATGGACATAATTTGAAATGGTCGTAAGTCGAAGCACCATTTTGCATAGGAATGCACTGAAATGCAATTAATCCATTCTGGCCAAAGGAAAAAAAATCACCAAATAAATCACTGCAAGACTCATTGGAAATGTGATTACTGTATTTTTCCATTTATAACACGCCCCCATTTATAAGATGCCACCTCAAACCCCAAATTTAAGAAAACTTATGTTTGAGGATTCAGCCTTTGAGCTCAGAACTTCAGACATTTTGTCTCAGTTGAATCTTGAGCCTGCAGGCTCCGCCTCCAAGGTGTGTTCCAATTGGTTTGTTCAGGGTCAGCTGACATCAGTTCCATAAGGCTTGTGATTGGAAGAAGCTAAGTCTCTTGACTGCAGGAAACTAAATATCGTGCTGAAGCAAGACTGTTTAGGGAGGCAAGGTACGTGCCATTTTGTTCTCTCTTCAGCTATCTCAGCTTACTTCTATGTAAAAGACGCCCCTTAATTTTTAGGGTAATGGTTTTAGGAAAAAGTATCATCTTATAGACAGAAAAATACAGTAATCCCTTCCAGGCAAAGGGAGAGGGGAGAAAAGTAATTCAGCATGCAAGACCCATTGGAAATGCACAGAACACAAACAGAGCAGATTGGAAATGCACAGAGAACAAAGGGAGCAGGTCAGAAATGCAAAGAAAGCAAAGGAAAAAGCAAGGGAAGTATGCAGGACCCTTTGGAAATGCTGAAAAAACCAAAAAGCAACCAAACCCCCCAAGAACCATCGGAAATGGGGTGGAAGCCAAAAAACAAACAAACCCCCAAGAACCATTGGAAATGGGGGAGAAAAACCCAAAAGCAACCACACCCCCTAAGACCCATCACAACACAGAAACGTAACCCCCCAGCCCAAAACCACACTGCCAAAACACCCAGAACAGTTTTTAAAAAGCAGAAAACAGCACCTTACCTTCCCTTACCAGGCAGCCCAAAGCCTCCCTGCAAACACACACACATACGCTCACTCAGAAGCAGAAGCGAGGAAGTCCCAAGAAGATTCCGACGCACATTCTCTAACTGCTGGGGCGAAAGAGCTACAAAGAAGCAGCCTCGTTGCCACCTACAGTTGGAAATTTGAATTTCCCACCTTTTTCCCCTGCCTTTTTCTGTTCATAAGTGGAAGCCCTGGTCACAAGTAGAAGCCAAATTTTGCAGCCGAAGCTGGTTGTAACTCAAAATGGTCGTAAGTAGGAATGTTTGTAAGTTGAGGCACCACTGTATAAGAATACACATCACATTCCCCCCCTTCTGAAATAGCCATTAGGACATCAGATAGTTTCCACTTCATTTTCAATTAACTGTACCTTAGGATGTTGTCTGAACTCTAAACCATCATTTATCTTAACTATGTTAGTTAAAAGAAGCTAGCACTATAAACTATTGTTTGAAGTTGTGTTCTTTCAGCATAGTTAAGATTAATCACGATTTGTTTGAGTTCAGAAAACATAGAGAATGGCAGTTAATATAAAATGGATATACTGTAAATGTTTCCACCATCTCTCTGCTGTGCCCAAGATGAAGGGGACTTGTGCAACAGAATGGCAGTTAATATAAAATGGATATAAATGTTTCCACCATCTCTCTACTGTGCCCAAGATGAAGGGGACTTGTGCAAATCTGAGACTTGGCGTAGTTCAGTTTCATAACACCAAGCTATGTCTTAGCACTGCATCCTAACCAGGCCATTCACAAACCTAAATGTGTTGTATCTTATTTGAACTGTGCCCCTTCTATTTAAGTGCTCTGTAATTTTCCTCAGTGTAAATCTAAACTTAAACCCAGGTTATCGCACAGCAATTCCTTGTGTGATTCAGCTTGCTTTCCATAAACAGAAGCCAGAGAAAAGGGCAAGAGACAGCTGCAAATCTACAAACTTATAGCAAGAAGAAGAAGAAGGTCAATAGTATCTTCAGACTTTTAAGCCTCTCTCATCACTGTGTCCCAAACTAGCTTTGCATCATTTGCTTTTAGAAATAAAATTTTACTGCTGGAAATTCCTTTCTTAAAAACAGCATACAGGATTGCACTCTTCAGCAAGCACCACCTATAATTACTGGTTTAGTCCATTACATGACACAGAAGCCCAGATGCCACTGTCCACCTTAGGAGATCATGTGGCATAATTAGAAGGGCAAGGAAGAGGGAGAATCAAAGGAGGAAGAAGAATGTGAATCATAAAAGTAATGAAGAGCCTTTTAACCTTTTCTTTGTTTCCTGTGACCTAGACCAAGGTACTTCTGAGAGATACTTCAATGTTTTCACTATATATGAGCCTCTTGGGTTTTTTGAAAGAAAGAAAAACACCTTCCCAACTATCAAACTCTTTCTTGTTCCTTCTGCAGTTCATGCCTGTTTTATTATAAAACATTATTCATTGCCATCTTACCAGGCCAAATCTGCAATTATTTCAACGGCAGTGACTATAAAGTATGAGCAGCAAGAATTTGAGTTCTCAAGCAGAAGATCAGCTGCTGTCAGAATAAGTTCTGTTGTCAAAATGATTCACTCATTTGTTCTTCTGGCTGTTTTACTCTACTATAGAGTTGCAAATGCGGAATCATAAATCGGGGTTATATGGACAGTTGCTCATCTTTACAGCTTCTCTGCATTTATGAATTGGCTCAGTGCAGACACAGCATATTCTGAAAAAGACTGCTAAGTAATGTCAGAGTCAATTTCAGCTTCTCTGATATGACAGCAGAAAGCAACAGTGCACCATTTCAAAAAGGGGAATGGGACAGAGAGGTAAAAAATATCATGTGCAAAAAGATTCACAGCAAGCTTCAGAAGTCCAATCTTGTGGACGTTCAGTTTGTACTGCAGAAAATCAGTATTTGTGCAGTTGTGGTTATTGCCTTTTTAATGGCTAAAACTAAATCATCAACCTATTTCAAAGAATCATCTCTACCCCTCCCATAAAATATGACAAATACCTTTGGCATGCATGTTTAGCATACAGACCATCTGACTGGTCATTAGCAATACTGTACTCAGGATGCAGGGTCTTCTCTTCCAGCAAAACTAGTTGGAAGAAGAATTAAAATAGAGACTCTGCATCACATTTAATAGATCATTACATTAATTCTCAGTTCTCTTCTTCATAATAAAAATCCATTCATGACACCTAGACACAAGAAAATGGTAGGGGTGGCAAACTGTTGGGACTTCAGATGTTTTGGACTATTACTTCCAGAATCCCCAGCCTCTGTGCCAATGATAAAAGATTATAGGATCTGTGGTCCAAGAAAATCTGGAGTACCAGAGATCTTCCACCCATGCATGGCAGAGAACATTGCCCATTTTAAAATAAATATTATTGCTTTGTAATTCACTCCACTTTGCTTCCTATTAAATTATGTTGGGAAGTAAATTTATAATTTCTCCTCTCTATGAAATGCTCCATGTTAATTTCTGTTCCCATAAGGAGCAGACATCTTTAACTAAAAGTAACTCTCTCTCTCTTTTTCTTTTTTGACAGTGAAGTAGTGCTTTTTTAAAGATACGGAACTCCTGAAAGCTCTTGCTTTGTTTTTTCACAATGGACAGGGTGGAACTCTATATGCATTTTACAAGCCAGAAATCGCCACAAATCAAATGGGGTGGGGGTGGGATTAAAACACAGAAAACACTGCAAAACCAACAGTTTGTTCTGTAAGAAAGAGTGTGAGCAAGATAGGGAAATTCCAGAGAAAAGGATTAGCATCCTGTTGTGGTTCAAGATAAGGAACTACAGTATCTCTGGTCAGATAAGGAAGATAATCCTTGTGTGGTCTCAAACACAGATAGCTGATCTGCTTCTTCAACCCTATGTTCCCTAAGTCATATATCATAATTCACAATGGGTGCTTCTTGATCTGATTACCATAGCGAGCATTAAAAAAAAGATAAATCAAAAGGCTAACTTATTGCACCATAGTTTGTATATTTTCCAAAAATCATGGAGCAGTATATTCAGTACACTTACAAGGTTCAGGAATTTTGCAACAGATACAACATTTAACCACACTTTCAGGATCAGACACACAGGAAACTATATCAAAACTGGGAGCTATGGACTCAGCAATTTCAGTATCATGTGGATATAGTCCTCAGACACAGGGTA